GAGCAGGTATGTTAAAGGACGTCAAAACTATTATCTCAGAAACAGGATAAACATGCAGCCACGTCCTTTCAACAATACTGTGAGAAGTTACATCATCAAACCGACATTTTTTCATGAAAAATTCTCTCAAGGTTTTTCCAAGAAAGAAAAAAATCGTCAGGCTTTGTACAATTCAATAGGTATAGCAGTGCCATTGTGCCAAATAGCCTATTTGGCCCAAAACCTGTACACATGCACGATTTCCCACTAAATCTCTTTATCCTTGAAGTCACTAAAGGCTATTTCATATATGACATTCTTCCTACACACAGGGAATTTTTATGTAGGGAGAAATAAAATGTCATCTTACGTTAAGTGCAAAAGAACTGTTTATTTTCCCATTATGTATGTTTTGCAGGCAGCCTGAAGATTCCTGCAAGGGGTAAAACTGACAAAGGGCTTCTCAGCAAGTTCCCTTGACTTTTGCATCTTCAGCTCGCATGTGAGCCCCCTCCTCATAAGCTAAGCACTCATGTTTAAGTCCTAGCAGAGGATACACACTGTAATGCTATATGTATGGATTGGTAACTTCCATTTCAATGTATCTGAAAAAGTGTGCATGCACACAAAAGCTTATATCTTGAACAGTCTTAAAGGTGCCACTGGACTCAAACTTTGTTCTGCTGTTTCAGACCAACACAGCTAACCTCCTAAATCTGTAATGCTCATGATTAGTGACAGCATGCACACTATCCAATAGGTGCCTGCTGATTTGTTCTGGACAATGCTGTGAACTGTAATCATATATTTCCCCAACAATATACTAGAAGATGTATGATAACCATCTCCTACTAGAAAGAATGCATGGATCAGTGACTGTCTGCCAATGTTCAACAGGGCCTACACCACATTTACTTTGTCCCCCTCAACAAAACCAAAGTTTGGTGTGATGTCCTGAGTTGCCAATAAAGGTCTTGCACTAAATCCACAGCTTTGCAAAAACACAAGTAATTTATTTCCTACTTCCTATCCATGGTTGTTAATTTGTCAGATCAAGGCCTCTCTGTCACAGCTTAGGACTTCACACAAGAGCATTTGCCTCTCTATGAATGGTTAAGGATGGGACCCTCTATATCCTACTCTCTGCACAGTACACTGTGGGGAAATCCAGATTACAGCAGGGGTGACCAGATTCTCAAGACCCACTCCTCGTCTTCAGACACTATACTTCAAATAACAGCTCAACAAAGTAGATGTCACAGGTACTATGGAATGCATGTTCTTGTAGGGTATTATGGTCACTGAATGGATGTGTTTCCTGAAACACCCTTCAAGATCTTCTCACATAAGAGTCAGATTGATTCAAACCAGCAATACCATAATTCCATTACAATAATACAGTAATTTTTAATGAAATACATATGGAGCACCATTGCTTCTGTTAATTACAAGAACAAATTAACATATATTTTAGAGAAGACCTTGACTGACAGATGGAAGAGCCATCTGGGGCTCAGATGAACTTGCCCAAGGGATGGAGAGGATCCAGTCCAACAGCTGGCTATCCTTGTTCTTTAATATGGTGCTGCACTACCAATGAGTTGATGACCCTTTCCAAAGTGGTCATTGCCAAAAGGTTGGCCCTCCCCTACCAAGCAGAGTGCTCAAATAGTCAAAATCAAAGCAAACTTCGGGGATTTTTTGCCTTTTGGTTGTAAGGACCAATTCTATAATATGGTTTTGGTAGCTGACTTGTGAATTAAAAGCATCAGGGTGCAGGGTAGAAATGTCTTAATAAATAAGCATGGAACCAAAGGGCAGAAGCTATTTCACACTAATTAACAGAGAGTTCCAAGGCATGATCCAGTGGATGTTGCAGAAGCATCATTAAAGAGGATGTATCTTTTTAAATGGGCAGTCTAATCCATGATTTGTTTAAAAAGAACAGAAAATAAAGAGGTTTAGTGGGAGTTCGCACATGTGCACAGGTTTTGGTCCAAATATGCTGTCTGGCACAATGACACAGTTATACCTATTGAACCGTGCAATGCATGACTTTCTTTCTTTCTTTCTTGGGAAAAAAACACACAGAAGGACTGAAGATACCCAGCAGTGGTAAGCAAGGATGAGGAATGTTAACTGGCTCAGGATCACACAGTGAGCTTTTGCAAACAGAAATCTAAATCTGGATCTCCTTCATCCTAGCCCAATAGCTTAACTACAGCACCACATCTATGATCTCCAGATCAATTTCTTATACTACATAAAGGTGTATCTCACAATGCACGAATCTGCCATGTCCAGGGGAAACAAAGATTCAGGTGGGTAGCCATGTTGGTCAGAAGCAATATAGAACAAAGTGTGTATGCACACAAAAGTTTAGACCCAGAATGAAACTTAGTTGGTCTTAAAGGTGCCACTGGACTCAAACTTTGTTCCAGGGGAAATAAAGTTCACCTTGCCCAGTACTGTCCATTGGCAGCGCTTCAGGAACACAGAGGTCATTCTCTTCATTATAGAGAGCCCATGGATTGCATCAAGGCCCTTCTGCAACTAAAATGATCTTCTCCCTGAGCAATAGAGCCTCCTTCAGCAGCTCTGTGGGTCTTGCGTAGCCAAATACTCCTCTATACACTTTCTTGGAAACAGGTCTACTGAATCAGAGGAACTTCCTTCTAAGTAAACATGCAACAACCTCCTTTCACACACCCCTTTTTCAAATATCCCCAAAAGCACATGCAGGTCCCAACAAATGCTCCCGCTAAGCTGTGGAGTCTTGTAAACAAAAATTCTACTTTGTGAGCTACTGGCATTAAAGAGTGAGCGATTTGGCTACCGCATAAATTAGTTTGCTCTGGAGCCCTCCTTCCTGAGCAAAGACAAAAAATGTGTGAGCCGGAGGCTAAAAAACTGTGAGCTAGCTCACACTAACTCATCTTAGAGGGAACACTGGTCCCAACCCAAAAGTGGGGTGCAAACCCAGTGAAATTGGGCCCCAGGCTTTTATAGCTGTCTTGATTTGTACACGCTGTCACTATCATGCAAACTAAATTTGGACTTGTGGGTTACCATATCAAAAAGGTCAGGAAGTACTGTTCTAAATGATTCACATACCTCTCCTGGAGTCCCCATCTATAGATCATCCCCCCCCACCCAGTATCCCAGGGCTTACAACCCACATTATTCTTTCCCCAAGTGTCCCAGTACTTGTCACACATATTCCCCTTTCCCCAAAAGTATTCCATAAGGCACACCACTACACCACCCTCTCTCCCCAAGTAACCTATGGGACACATGACAAGAGATTTAATTACACACAGTGCAGAGAGGACAAAGAGAACTTTTTCTCCCTCTCCCAAAATACTAGAGCTTGGGGGCATTCAATGAAGTTGACAGGCAATATAAGAAAATGAGCAGAGCCCTGCTGGATCAGACCAAAAACCCATCCAGTCCAGCATTCTTTCCACACAGTGGCCAACGTCTAGGAAACTCACAAACAGGAAGGCTGCAACAGCATCATCCTGCCTGTGCCCCCCACCCCCAACTGATTTAATGAGGCATCCTTCCTCTGGTACTGGAGGACGTAGACAACCACCATGATGAGCTGCCACTGGTAGCCCAGTCCTCCGTGAATTTCAGGACAGAGAAAAGTACAAACTTATTTACTCAACGAGTAATTAAAATATGGAACTCACTGCCAGACAGTCACAGACAGTGTTCCCTCTAAGCTGAGTTAGTGTGAGCTAGCTCACAGTTTTTTAGCCTCCGGCTCACACATTTTTGTCTCAGCTCAGGAAGGATGGCTCCAGAACACACTAATTTATGCAGTAGCCAAATTACCTGCTCACAACTTTAATGCCGGTAGCTCACAAAGTAGAATTTTTGCTCCCAGGACTCAACAGCTTAGAGGGAACATTGGTCACAGGCATAAACAACTTTAAGAGGGGATTAGACAAATTCATGGAGGTCTATCTGCACGCACCACCCATGGTGACTACAGAGAACCTCCCCATTCAGAAGCACTAAACCTCTGAATCCCAGTGCCAGGAGGCAACATCAAGGGGAGGCCTCGGCCTCTATGCCCTCTTTGGGGCCCTCCAGAGCAGTGCTCCCTCTAAGCTGCGTTAGCTATCTCCCGGGTTTTTTTAGCCTCCAGCTCACACATTTTTGTCTTCGCTCAGGGAGGAGGGCTCCAGAGCAGACCAACGGATGCCGTTCCCAAATCGCCCGCTCACAGCTTTAATGCCAGTAGCTCGCAAAGGAGGATTTTTGCTCACAAGGCTCCACAGCTTAGAGGGAGCATTAGCTCCAGAGTACATGGCTGGCCACCGCGTGAGACAGGGATGCCGGATCCGATGGACCGCTTGGCCTGCTCCAGCAGGGCTCTCCTTACATTATCCTTTTCCCCCCTCCCACCTCAGCACCCCAAGATCTGCCCATCCCACCCCTTACCCCCTCTCCTGGGGGGGGGAGAGCCCCAGGAGTTATGCCCACCCGTGTTCCCTCTAAGCTGAGTTGGTGTGAGCCGGCTCACAGTTCTTTAGCCTCTGGCTCACATTTTTTTTGTCTCAGCTCAGTAAGGATGGCTCCAGAGCAAGCCGATGTATGCATCTGCCAAACTGCTCGCTCACGACTTTAATGCCCGTAGCTCACAAGGTAGAATTGTTGCTCACAAGACTCCGCAGCTCAGAGGGAACATCGATGCCCACCCCTCGCTCCTTCCAGATCCCCCCCCCCATCTGCCACACATACATACTCCTCCCCATGCCCAAGTAGCCCAGCAATCACTCCTTCACAGGCCATCTCCCCCCCCCCAGCTGTAAGACGCA